TTCTCTCTCTCTCTCTCTCTCTCTCTCTCTCTCTCTCTCTCTCTCTCTCTCTCTCTCTCTCTCTCTCTCTCTTGCTCCCTCCCTCCCTCCCTCCCTCCCTCCCTCCCTCCCTCCCTCTCTCTCTCTCTCTCTCATCTCATGTGCTCCCTCTCTCTCTCTCTCTCTCTCTCTCTCTCTCTCTCTCTCTCTCTCTCGGCGATGAAGATCTTGACTCTGAATACATCCGCTTGCTACTCAGCCCTACTACTACACTGAGCGGCTATGGCCGCCTTCCTTCCACAGCGCAGCGCTGCCCAGCCAGGGCTGTAGCGCTAGTCAACTCGCAAATAGCGCACAAGCTCAGCATCCTGTCCGAAATGTGGCTGGCCAGTGTCTATATTGACTTTGACTGGGCCTTGACTCGTCCCAGCCTCTGCTTCTCTTGGCTCGACTTGGACCCGCTACCGGCTGCCCATGGCCTGTTTGCTTTTGGAATGTCGATGCCCGGTACCTTCCTCAGTTGTCCCTGTTGTGCTGCTGCTTTTTGGTCTGTGGACGTGACCTTTGCCTGTAAGATGTGACCTTGGACTGTGGGATGTGACTTTTGACTGGGTACCGGTTGGACTAGACCCCTGGGGTACCCGACTTGATTTTTCCGAGTCTAGCGGACTTGGTCTCTTTTGACCTGGGGCGTTTTGACCCTGAAATCCGAATTCGGGGTCTGCATCATGAAATGCCTTTCAAGTTGGATACTCCGCCAAAAGCAGAAGTGGAGCAGGGAGACACGGAGAACGCACTGCATCCAAGAACAGGCAGAGGAAGACAAACGGTTTGCAATGTCCAAGTGCACTTGAAGAAATTTGAGTTTGCTTCTTTTCGACTGAAGCTGCCTTGACCCTTGACATAATTTGTGATAATCTTGAGCCAACCTGGAATTGCATAATTTAATACTTAATGAAATTTATTGAATTTTATTCTTCATTTGTAAAGAAAATTATGATCAACCTGAAATTTCATTCTTTTTGGATTGTGCACTTGAAGAAATTTGAGTTTGCTTCTTTTTGACTGAAGCTGCCTTGGCCCTTGACATAATTTGTGATAATCTTGAGCCAACCTGGAATTGCATAATTTAATACTTAATGAAATTTATTGAATTTTGTTCTTCATTTGTAAAGAAAATTATGATCAACCTGAAATTTCATTCTTTTTGGATTTTCACAGATGGCAAAGCAGTGTAAACAAGCTGCAGACAAGAAGGAGGCGGAACTAAAAGCAGCCTTACAGCTGCAAGAGGAATTGCAGGCAAGAGCTACAGCTCTCGACTTGCAGGTGAGAAGATTTGATGTTGTTTATAGCATGGGAGGCGTTTTGTTGAATTGTTTCCCTCGGACATGGAGTGCTAAATTAAAAATCACTTAGGAACCGTGTTGGACCCGCCGACGGTCAGCGGCCCTTGACTGGTCAGCGGCCGACCCGCCGACCGATCGGCTGGTCATCGGCACCCCGCACTTTTCTTTTTTTCTTTTTTGGGGTCCAGAACCCCTAATAACTCCACCACACCCCCATAGCGCCCCCCAATACCCCCATACACCAACCCAACACCCCTGAACTGCCCCCAACACCCTAATTAAACCCCCCAATATCGTCTATATCACCCCTATACTCCCCCTATACTCCAACCCATACCTGCGGCGCATCGCGTGCGCGCGAGCTCCGCACGTGTGGCGCATCGAGCACGCGCACGCGATGCGGCGCGCCCCAATAAATAGGGAAAAAAACAAATTTTGAGAGGGCTGGCTGAGATAGCCAATGGTGCACCTCCCTTCCAAAATATCGAAGGGCACAGAAAAAAAAAATTGGGCCCACGTATTCCTTGTTGAATAGTCTCTTTCCCAGAGGACCCCAACAGTGCCTGCAAGGGTCCCAACATCTTTCTTTCTTCCTTTCTTTCTTTTTTTTTTTTTTTTTAACATCTTAAGAGACGTTCAGCAAATTTTGTGTGAGAGAGGAGCAGGCCAGCAATATATGTTCTGCATCCGAAGTCAGGTCTGCTTTCCAGCAGTTATGGGTTACAAGTTACAACTACTTACTACTGTAGCTTTCTCTTTCTTTTGTTTCGTTTTCCTACGAGCAGTGGCTTTAAGGGTCTTGCTCCACTCTTCACTACTTGCAGAAAAGACAAAACATATGGCGTCGTATGGTTCCATGTTCTAGCAGAAGATTCATTCCTCTCTTTCTTTTGTTT